ATCTGTTATATAGATAGACAGTTTAATTTTTGTCCTTTTGAAATCCATCTAACATTCATGTTTTCAATTTGTATAGTAGATGGACCTATTATTTTTGTATCGACAAACTGATTATCTTTTTGGTCAGTCAATCTAATTTGCCTATTTTGGTACTCAAAATCGTCGTTTTCAATCCTCTTAGTTAAAAAAAAAAATCGGGGGCGGAAATCCTGGCTACGTCCTTGGGTGAACGAAGCACAAAAAATATTTATATGACATGTAATCAAAATAACACTAATTTTACTGATGTTTAAAAATCCGCCTTGCATTCACTTAAAAAAAAAAAAAGTTAAGGTTAAAGCATCTAATGGATACTTAACAATGAATACATATTGGTTCACGAACTAATATCGAGAATTGAGTCTTTATCAACAAAATCATTTATTTTGAAGAATGTTAAAATATGATAAAAAAAATTCAATGCATCACTCAGAAACAATAAGCTGAGATGAGAGCTTAGATAGTAAAACTCATAAATCAAAACCCACTCTTGCAAAAAATCTAATGATTCTAGCTTAAAAGCAATTAGAACGCATAAAATAATGGAAAGTCAAGGCTATAAAAATTAAAAATTAAACTGACTCATTTCTCGTACTGCATCGATTAAATTAAAATTATAAGTTTAGTCCCTCGATCAGATGATAAAATCGAGCATGAGTTGGACGAATATATTTTTAACCAATATAATATCACAAGTACCTTGGTGTTTCGTTTGTTACTTGATTTTTTGAGTTAAAATAATGCGTTTAGTCACTCTAATAGACTTGACTTGATTTGATGGGTGCCCTATACAATAAGGATTAAACTGAATGCCCCGGCTCAATGACCGGGGCATTTGACAGGGCGCCGAGGTGGCGCCCTGTGATTGGAGGGGGGTTGAGGTCGGTCAGCCCCCCCTCCAATTGCATGGTGCCACGTCGGCACTTGTATGATGGCCCGGTCATTGACCCGGGCCATCTAGCACTGTCCATACAATAAAAATAAGACGGCTCATGGAATGGCTTGTCAATAAATGACTGAAAATGAAACGCACTGGCAAAAAAAACTTTTAACCAATGGAGAATTGTATTCATGTATAAGAACGCTCTAGAAAGTTGCTCACAAGATAAAAAAGACAATTTAAATGACACCAAAAAATTAAAGTTCATGAAATGGCTTGTCAATTCTTGATTTTGTGATATTCGAGAATTTAGGTGTTAAAGTAGGGATGAACATAGTCATGGAGAATTTAAAGTTTAAATTAGAGTTTTTATTGGACATGATAAGATTTTGTCCATTGAGAATTAAACTACACGCAATAAAAAAGTATAACAACAACAACAACAACAACAACAACAATAATAATAATAATAAATATCACACAAGAACGTGCAAGACGTACAAGTGTTAGTATCTTTCGTCGTTGCAATTTTTCGTTACGGCGAAAAGAAGTTTATAATAAAAAAAATTGCACACCATGTTTTCTCTAACCTCAATCAGTGTATGAACTTCACATAACCGTAATAATTAAGTTCCACAATTTAATAATTAAGTTGAAATCATCTATTTCGAATTGAATGAAATTGAATCGAAATGGAACCAAAACCGACCAGTTGATTGATTCCGTTCCTTCAATTTAATGTTAGAAAATTCAGTAGCAAATAGAAATGCAGTTTTGACTTTAAAAAATCTTAAGCTATGACATTTAACTAGTATCAAAATGTGCAGAAAGTTGGAGTCAAAATTATTATAAATTACACTAAAACCATATAGGAGTAAGATGAATACAACTCGTGAGTGGGAGATTGCTGAACCAATAAATTAAAATTTGCACATGTAATGATTCAAATTTGACCAAGTTCAACCAATATATTGGTACACCGGGTTGCACCGAGTTTGATTATGGGTGTTTTAATCGAGAATCGGACTAGAATTGATTGGTTCTCAACTTTAAAGGTATGCTCGATTGCGAGAATGAAATTTGCATGGAAAAAAAATAAATTTTAGCAAATTCAATTATCTAGAATTTATTTGTATAAAAATTATTAATTAAATGTGTTTGATTAATTTAGTTTTCAACTTAAAAAATATTATACTTGTCAATTTTTTATTGGTGGATCGATAAGAAAAAGGGGACAGATAAGAGAGAGAGAGAGAGAGATATAGTGAATTATCTGAAAATAAAATCCTACTCCCCAAAAGAAAATATTTTCCTTAATTTTGAGAAAAATATGGTCACGTGACAAAAAGTAAGAAAATGTTTTTCTTGGAAAAAAAATGACAATCAAACGGCACAAAAATAAGATTTTGGATGAAAAAACATATTTTTCATGGAAAATATTGGCAATCAAATGCACCCCAATATTTTGAGCCGAACTGAATTTAAGCAATTAAATTTTGGAGGACAATTAATGGTACAAATCGTGGTAGCGACAGTGACACTCAGTGGCGGACCCTGCATTGAAGTTCAACCAGGGCGGACATTGACCGGTCAAAGTCGACAATCAACGATCGTAAAAGCGAGGTCGTTTATTAATATTGAATTAAATAATATTAAAAAATATTCAATATATATGTAAATGCACTAAACGTAAAAATTATATATATATATATATATATATATATATATATATGAAAACTTAATTCAATA